GGTGTTATACCCACGGAAGTAAAACGGTGTATCAACTGGATTGAGATTCTAGTTGGCATTTGAAATAAGAAGAGTTTGAACCAACTTAAATTCATTCAACGTCATCGGAAGTCTGTTTATCTAGAACCTGGCCTCGAAAGCATGTGAGTGTCAGAAGCTCATAACAACTATTACATAACAAGTTAAGTTTTGGTAATAACGTATTATAACAGACTTCTTTGATATATGTAATTAATACCAACTGGTTATATATCACCTAGAGATTAATTATGTATAGTACTGTTTGGTATATCATTTTCAGAAGACATAATCTCGTCTCCTTCCTGTTTATGTTCTTCTTCTATTCACTGAATAACACTCCCCCTTTTTTAAATAGAAAAATACTCATTTTTCGGTTTTATCGTCAGTCTTCGCCTTGTCGTGGAGATCTGGAGCGTTTTTTGATGTTGATTGTCTACTTATTTCACGTTCCCGCTTGAATGTCATTGAATTTCGAATTAGTGAGAGCTCCTTCAAAATACTCTTTGCTGAATCGAAGCTTTTTAGAAATTCAGCGTCTGGAGTTACCGCTTGTTCTGGTCTATCCAATACATAACGAGAGCTTATTGCTCTTCAAATTTTCTCTGGTTGTGGTGGCGATGCTGCATCAAAATTAGATTCGTTTGACGTTGGTGTTGGTTTGCCTTTTTGTTGGCTTGATGCCTTCAAATCTTCCGGTGTTTGTGCCTCCGTTCGGATTTCTGGGCATTCGATTGATGATGAAATGGAGATTACTTCCGGGTGTTCGTCCTGTGACGTGGTTGTTGGTTTTTCAGAGTGTTCCGGTGTAGGTATGATTTGTATTTGACAAACAACATTTTTGCTGTTTCCTTGGTCTTCTATATTGTTGATCGGGATTGCGTTGCCAAACTTTCCGGCTAGTGTACCGATCCTTGTTCTGGTTGAGCGGCGACACTGTTGTTCAAATTTCTCCGGTGTTCGTTTAGTTTCTAATTTCTTTGCTACCGGTTTACTTGGTGACGGTGTTTTTCTGGTGGGCTCTGAGTCTGATGAGAGCGATATCGATGTGTCACACTCAAATTGGATGTCCGCTAATTTTGTCTTCTATGTTGGACTTCGGGAACTAGTCAGTTTAGTTTGGTTTTGATGCTTTTCCTTGGATCGAAGATCGGTCGTATTGAACAGTTTGTCGTGTTCTAAAGCCTTGCGGTTTAAGGTTTGACTCATGATTTTCTCCAAGTTTTTAGGCGGTGGCTTTTTCAGACTTGTTTTCTTTTTATCCTTTGCGGGTTCCGTTATGGTTCTTCGTTGAGTTCCAGTCGGATTGACGTTTGTTGATTGCCTTTTGCTGCTGGTCTGGTTTTTTTTTCGGGTCTGCTACCTCGGCGGTGGGTTTGGTCTTTGTCACTGAAACACGAGGTTTTGCTCTGGGTAAATGTTTATCGGATACAAAATCTTTAAGAGCTGCTGGTCGACATTTTACGTTATGAGGGGAGAATAGCTAAGAATTGAACCATTTTGCAATATTCTAAACTGTGCGCCGAAATCTGGTTTTTTGATTTTCCGAGCAATTGTCCCTTTTTTTCGGGCGACTTGGTCAAGTTTATGTCCAAGCTGCGGACTAATTGTGGTCTGCGGACCTTTAAAACGGTCCTTCAGAAATATGAGAGGTGCCCTTTCAATGTTTTGTTTTTCCTGTTTTGTTAACGTGCGGATAGGTTTTCTAGTCCTTAATTGCACAATATAGTTTTTAGGGTTTTCTTTTAGGAATTTGCATTTTTCTTTTATCAGATTGTATGGAATGTTAGTTAAAGATAAATGCGCACATATTGGAAACTTTTCAATGATTTGACGGTCAAACTCGTCGTCGCTAGTATCCCATTCAGTAGCACCAAGCGGTTGTTTGGAACATGTGGTCGAAGATGTGGCTACATTATCAGTGGTCTCTGGCAGGTTTTGTTGTCTGTACGTTATATCCAACTCGTCCCCACCATTGATGTCGCAATTCCACATGGCTTCCGCCGTGAGCGCCGGTTTCGTAAGTAGTTTCTGATCTAAACAAGCAATCTTCGTGTTTTCCCAAGATAAATTAGATGTATTCGGGGATGTGGCTGTGTTAATAAATGGCGTGTTTGGTTTTGACCAAATTGCGCTTAGAACGTCGTTGTTTTTGTAGTGGTATTTGGTGTAATTCTTAGAGTTTTAAAAAGTTCAGCAACATCTGAAGCGAGTTTGTATGGTTTATTCCTATTTCCATTTTCATAACTGACAACCGTGATTTAAGTGTCCTGATTAATCGTTCCGCCATGCCAATAGAACGGTGGTCGTCCATTGGTGCAAGTATTAGTTTGATATTATTATCTTTACAAAATAGCATAAACTTTTTCGCCCTAAGACCTTGTGCTTGGTCACATCTAATATTTTGTGGAACCCCCTGGTTCACAATGTGCGTTTGCATAAATCGAACTATTGTGTCCGCTTTGGTATTAGTTACCACTTTAGCTGATGGAAATCGAGAGAATCGATCTACCCCTACTAGAATGTAGACCTCTTTATGATTTTCTTCCGGTAGTGGCCCCACAAAATCCATTTGGATTTCTTCGTTGGGTTCTACAACTGCGTCTAGCACCGTTAAATGCTGTTTTCCCGAAATGACTTTTAGGTTTTTACCTTTTTGTCGACACTCTTTACAATTCTGCGCCATGGCAATGATGTCCCGATGTAAATATGGGTACCAAACATTTTGGCTGCCTCAAGAATTCCGCCTTGCCCTCGATATATGAGGTGTAGCGAGTCTACAAGGGTTTGCCTAAACTGTTTTGGGATGCCAGCTCTGTCGTCATACAAAAGGATTCCGTCCCTTACTGACAAGCGATTTCGAACATTATAGAAATATGCACCATAGCAGGAATTCAAGTTGTCCCACTTTTGTCCCCGTACAATGTTTAGAAGTGGCTGGAGTGTCTTATCTCTCTTTGTAGCCGATGCAATGAAATTGCTGTCGAACACCTTCCTCAGTTGTTTTCTATACATAGGGACGTCTTCCTCGTCCGTGAATGCAGTTAGACATGCTGGTGGGGTATTGTCTTCATCCATGGTTTGACTGTCTTTATCCACTTTGTCATTTGGATCTCTTTTAAATGTCAGGCTATCTTCGGAAGGGATGACTTGATGTGATGTATCGCTAAACGTTAGCTGGTGATTTAAATCCCTGAGTGTGTCGAAGGATGAGATGTTCTTCGGGTGGAAGGAGATGGTAGTCTGGGCCTCATTGTGGCATTTTCTCATAATCTGTTTAAAAGTTGATATTAACATAACGGACGCAGTGTTTGTATTTTGTCTGTCCATGGTTGGTAACAGTTTTCAAGCTGTATGCAATGTGAAGAATTTTGCCCAATTTGAATTATGCTCAATGCGACTGAAATTTGGCAATGGACTTTTTACACTGAGCTTTGTTTGCGTTGCAAACGAAATTGAAGCTAAATCGTTTTCGTTCCGGTTGAGCGATTGCGTGCCTAGATATCCGTTTGGATTTGAGTTCATTTTTAAATTAGAACTTGTGCTATCTTGAAATTCAAGGCGTGTTATGAAGTCATCGATTAACGCAACCACAAACTATTCGTCCCAATAGGCAGGTGGTTGGGGTTTACCTACTGGATGTCTGGAAGTGTAATCAATGAGCCCCATTCTGGAGCCCGCTAAATGTTTTATATCAAAATCAAATAGTAGAAGCCGGTCTATTCATCTGGTTAATCTACTTTGATATATTTTATTATGTTTGTTGCATTGTAGCGCGCTGATTAGGGCTTGATGGTCGGTGATTAGCGTGAATCTTCTACCATACAGGTTGTATTTAAAGTGCTCTATTGCCCAAACTGCTGCAAGCAGTTCTAATTCGTTGACCGAATATTTGTTTTCGCATGAATTATGAAAACGTGAAGCGTAGGCAATAGTAGCCCATCCGTCCGGAGTTTCTTGCTCTAATGCGCATCCGATGCCGTCTCGGCTGGCGTCGCAGACCACCCGTGTTTCCCGGCCACTTACCAAGTGGCGGTTTTCTGATATGTTGTGTACGGCTTCCAAAATGTTTTAAAATTCTTTTTCATGCGGCTCTTCCCACGTGAAATGGAATTTATTTTCGACTGATAGTAAGGGACGGAACGGTTTGCACAGCTGTGCCAGATTAGGGATAAATTTATTTAGGTGATGTATTGGTCCCATAAAACTTTTGAGCTGTTTGAAGTTTTCGGGTGACTTAGTTGTACGATTATTTCGGTTTTTCTTTCGCATTGGGATTGTTCCATATTCATTTATGACATAATCCAACCACTCGACCTTTTTGTAGCCGAACTCATTTTTTTCGAGAGATATCGCCATATTCTCAGCATCCAGTTTGTCCAGAATTCTTTTTAGTTTATTCATATGATCATCTTTTGTACCGTGGGATATAATCAATGTCATCCAGGAAAGCAAGTGTATCTTTTTCGTTGTTTAGCTTAAAGTAATTTGCTTTCTGGAACTCTGCAGGCATATCAGTAAGACCGTAGAAACCAGTCTAGAACTGATACGTTCCAGTTGCCTGCCCTCCAATGATACCAAAGTTACATTGTCTTCGAGTGTTCTCGCTAAATTTAAGCTGACTGTACGCATACCTAAGGTCAATTGTTGATATTAATGTAATGCCCGGTTTGTTGTGACCCTCTTGCGCTGATTGAGCCACGTTATCAAGTAGTACGTCTATTTTTGGCATCTGATACTTGTTCTTTTGTATCATTTTATTAATTTGTTTAGAATCCAACGCTAACTTGATGGAATGATCTTTCTTCACTTTAATGACTATCGGGCTTATGAATGGCTGGTCACTACATTTTTCAAGTTTTATAATATGAACTTGGTCTATGAGAGACCTGATTTCTTGTTCCAATTTTTCTTGATTATGTATTGGAATACTTTGACCCGTTTGTTGCAACGCTTTGAGTTCTTGAAGAAATGTTGTATGAACCATATGGTTCCGTGCTCTACCAATTCGGGTACATAACCCCGGATATGTAGATTTTGCCCAGTTGGTTATTTTTGCATCTGACCTATTTACGTCACCCGATATAGTATTAACTGACATACCAGCTGGTTGCTGCTGTAGTTGAGCTCCAATCAAAGCTAGGAGGTTTCTTCCCAATATAATTGCGCGCCTGTCGTCTACTACGATGAGGGAAGCTGTATTGATCGTCCATCCACCTGATTCAAGGGGTGCGATGACTCGTCCAAACAGTTGGATTTTATATCCGTTGTAACAAATCATTCTGTTTGCCCCGTCGTTATCGTTTGTTTTGATCCGTTTGGTTGATTTAACTGTTGTCATTATTTGATTTGCAGTCTTTTGGTTAACAAATTTTGTGGGTGATCCTGTGTCCGCGATGAACACTACGTTGTTGTCTTCGCATCTAACCCGTATCAAGTGTCCCTTTAGATCTGTATCATCTAATTGTCCAACATTTTTGTTTTCGAATCGAATTGCATTCGTTGTCGAATCATCGAGATGGATTAGCTTCCAGCCGGGGATGAGATCGCCGGCTTGCATGTAATTAACGTACGCTGCTACATACGTGTCCTGCGAAAATGATTCTTCTGTTTGTTCGTCGTGAATTGCGTTGACGTCAGATGATTTGCATAGTCGTGCCTAGTGTCCACGTTTGTTACACTTATTACAGATTTTGTCCCGGGCCGGACATTTTTGCATTTTTGATTACCACATTTAAAGCATTTAGTCTTTTCGTCTGTTTGTTGTCGTTCGGAGTTCCCCCTTTGTTGTTCTTGCGGCTAGCGTCCGCGTCCAACCCTTGATGAATAACGATTATTATTGTTACCTCTTTTTGAACAAACCCAACTGGTTCGGTTTTCATATTGGATACTTGAGTAGATATTGGGGATCCCTGTTTTCGGATAGCCAATTGGTTTTCTGAACTTTTCTCTCTCCTGATTGCGTAATCTAGCGCTTGCTCTGGTGTTTTCCTTTCCGCCAAGAGGTCTTCTTGTACCTCATCATTCGACATGTTTGCGGTAAACAAGTCCCGGATAACCTCTGTCTCTAATCGTCCTTCATTACAATTGCGGCATTTGAATTTGCCTTTCACCACCAGTTACGTAAGGAGGCAATGGTACTGCTCTAGGTTTTCTGTCTTCCCTTTTTTTCTCGTAAAGGCCTCATAGCGGTCAAATGTCACATTTCTTTCTTTGACGAAGAGTCGTGTCAGTCGATCCCAGAAGTCTCTGGTTGAGATTTTTTGAATTTTGAGATCCGGATAGTATTGTGTCAATCGTCTTTGTCCCTCATACCCCAAACACAAGTAAATATAGCTCCTGCATTTGATGTCCGCTTCTTCCCACGGACTTCCGTCTACTGTTGGACCAAGGTTATCCAATTGCTGACACTGGTTTCCCACTCCTACCTGTTTCTCCTGGTTTCTCAGATTACGATCTCTTATTTGTTCATCAGTCTCCCCCTCGATTGGGAGTTTGTACCCCGGTTCTCGGGGTTTTCGTATAGCTGGGGCATTTTGTAACAACTTGGTCAAGTTTACGCCGTCTTTTGCGATAATGCCGAGCAATAGTTTTTGATTCTAATTGTCCCACTCTAACGGTGGTTCCGTTGAGACTTTTTACCAGAACGGTGTTTTTCCCAATGGGTTCTTTTTAACTGCTGGCTGCGTCATGTTATACCCACGGAAGTAATGCGGTGTATCAACTGGATTGAATTTCTAGTTGGCATATGAAACAAGAAGAGTTTGAACCAACTTAATTTCATTCAACGTTATCGGAAGTCTGTTTATCTAGAACCTGACCTCGAAAGCGTACCCACGTTATAACCAGTTGGTCATGTTATACCCACGGAAGTAATACGGTGTATCAACTGGATTGAGATTCTAGTTGGCATATGAAATAAGAAGAGTTTGAACCAACTTAAATTCATTCAACGTTATCGGAAGTCTGTTTATCGAGAATCTGACCTCGAAAGCATGTGAGTGTCAGAAGCTCATAACAACTATTACATAACAAGTTAAGTTTAGGTAATAACGTATTATAACAGACTTCTTTGATATATGTAATTAATACCAACTGGTTATATAGCACCTAGAGATTAATTATGTATAGTACTGTTTGGTATATCAGTTTCAGTAGACATAATCTCGTCTCCTTCCTGTATATGTTCTTCTTCTATCCACTGGATAACAGCGGGAGTGGGGATGACCCACAACAGACTTCGGAGACGCCCCCGCCCGCGTACAATGAAAGCAGTAAAGTGATCACGGCCAAGTTCAACGAGAAAGCCTTCAAGTTCTCTGTCAACCTGCTGGAAGCATCCCGAAACAGCATCGACTTCCTACGACTCGTGAACAAAACTCCGAGTCTATACGACGAGCCTTTGATCAACTATGCGATCTACCGTTACGAAACGTTTTGGTTGCCCCTCGCTTCGAAGTTCACTTCGAGTGGTTCAGCTAAGTGGGCGGCTCCTCTGGACATTCAATGGGCATGGCATGTGCATATGTTAGCTCCGCTTTACTACGAAAAAGACTGCAAAGAAATAGTGGGTTGTGTAGTTGACCATGAACTGAAATCGTCGAAAGATTACTCGAAAGCAATGGCTGCTGCGAAGAAGGCATGGGAACAAACGTACCTGCAGGAGCCATTTGAAATAGATTTGAAAAGCGATTCAAGTGGCACTAAAATATCAAAACGGCTCGAATCTTTTGTTTCGAAGATAACATACGATATTGCCACAGCTTCGTCGAGACAGAAAACGTTCTTCTATCAGTGCAGTTTGCCTCACTACTTGGACAAAGTTTTCCTCGAGAAAGCCATCGAGCGGTACAAAAAATTTTTATTTCTGAAAAGTCTCAATAAAAACACTTTCTTGATTCCATGTTATGATTTTGACGTTGTTTGGCACGCGCATCAAGCACATCCGTTTAAGTATAAAGAAGACACGGAAAGGATACTTGGCAAAATGCTGAATCACGATGACTCAGTGAATGAACGCCACGAGGGGTCGAAATTGATGCAAGCTGACGCTCTCACAAGGGACTTATGGTCAAAGGTAACACTCAATTACTTTCAACAATTATTTTCTGTGTCGAGAAAAATAGATCTTAGTTCTTCGCTTTTTGCCTGTAAATCTTTTTTTTTAGTGGGGAACTGAGACGACAGTAGTATGATTATTAATCAGATGAGCCATACATAACCGGTACATTTAAGATTTTGGCAATTCGCACGCGGAAAAGAACTTGTTCAAACATGATCAAATACGTTTACCCGAGAGTTAAAGTTTTGTAATTATGCCGCCAAACGACGGTTTTGAATAGGACAGATTTCGATGCAACTCTTAATTTCATAATCATGCCGCAAAACGATAGTTTTTTATTGGTTGAAGTTCAATGTTGCTAGATACGTCATTGCGCGTCATTGTGCGATTTAATTTGAAAACTAACCTGATTGGAAAAGACTCTGATTTTCTATATTTTCATTTTCCTTCAGTAGTGTAATCTGATCAGTTGGTAAAATTGAACCTAAGTTTTTGCAAACGCTATAAAACTTGATAACATATTTAAAACTGCTTCGATATACCACGGATTTATATATCGCTTCCTATCAAGAAAAGCAAAGAGCCTCAGAGAACTGTGTCAGTTATAAACAAGGAAATAACTATAATTTTTTCAGTGCAAATAATTTCTGATTCCAAATCAAAGAAAGCCGCTACTTAAACCAAAGTAAGCTACTGAATCCATTCCAAGTTTGTTTATACCCCCAAAATGCAGTAGACCAAAACAACAAGCAGATTTCCTCAGACTGCAGAACAAATCATTGCAAGTGTTGAAAACTTAGACTCAAACAAATCATTGCAAGTGTCGGTCGAGAAAAAAGGAAAGAAAGGGTGATTTTCAGCTTTTTGTTTATTTTCTATGCTAATGTTAGTCTGGGTAAATTTTAAACGCCATTTAAGCCAAATGATTGGTAATCTTAAAATTTAGCAAGAAGTTATCCGTTGAAACATTACTCTCATCGAAGGAAATATTAAGAAATCGGATACAAGTTTGTTATTTCTACAGAGCTAGTAGAAAACAATAAATTTATCAGTGAAAGCTTTCAGGGGAAAGCTCTCGTTATTTTGATCCCTGCTGCTGAGCAGTTTCTAGACTTCAGAATTTAAAAATCTTAGTTCATAAAAAGTTACTTCGATGATTTTTGTTCCGATTTTGGAAGCAATTGCTGAAGTGTCAGGCATTGTTTCGTTTTCTGAGTTTTTGACATATTCAATTTTGAATTAAATATACATTTTTTGTTTGTTTCAATCAAGAACTGTTGAAGTTGAAAGCAAAACTCAGAAGTGAATCTTAGTTTAGGGTTCGGGTCTTTTTTTATTATTTAACCGCAAGCATGGGTTGAAAGCGGTAAATAGCAGTTTATTCAAAATCTTGTTTTCCTTTTTGGTTATATTAGTCAGTCCTGTTAAGGAAACCGTTACTAATAATTGGTAGTTTGGCTAATTCACATCAAGTAGATACATTTACTTTCAGTTCTTTCTTAAACACCTATGTCTTCTTCTACTGGGATTAAAGTGACTAAGTTGAACGTTATATTGTGCAAAACTTTCATAACCACGGCCGCAAAATGTAGGGGGAAAAGTACAATATCAGGGTTGATTGGAAGCGTTTATATGCAGTTCTGAGCCTAATAACTTTTGTTGTGAACAAGATAGAAGCTCGGCTAACGGGACCTTCTTGGTTCTCCTGTGCTAGGGCAAGCCAGTAGCCTAGCTAATCTTTCATTTTCTTTATAAACTGATATGTAAATAATCTTCAAAAATTGATGTGAAAATTTGAAAAAATAATCAGAAAATGAAAATAAAAAATTCCAAAAAACTGATTTGTTTTGTCCTAAACTCTCGAATAACGCTGCCAATTGATCAGACAAGAGTTAAATTACATTGAAATATCTTTGAGAAACTCTTAAGATATTTTTTTCCAAAAATTGATTTTTTTCCTTGAGTGTGTAAATCGTGAACCGAGATGAGAGTTGAAGTTTTTCAACATCCAGCAATCTCTCAGAAATGAAATTCAGGACGATCATCGTAAAAAACGTATTATTTTTGCCTAAAAACAACTCCCTCATGGTAAACTTTCAGTTTTTCAATTTTTGGTTTCTTGAACTAAATATATAATGAAAATTTTTAACTTAACTGAAACGAACCGATTGATTTGGACAGAACCGTAGGTTCAGAGCGTCAAGATTTTTTAATTTGGACTTAAAAGATTTTACTGATTTTTTTTTGAAAAAACTTTATTTTTGAAAATTTCATATTCCTCTAAAAATAAGATTTTGACTAATTCAAGGTTCTCACCCCGATGATTTTTGCTCTAGTCAAGATAGACGCTCGGCAGTGAGAACAATTTCTGTTCTCCTATGCTAAGGAAAGCCAGTAGCCTAGCTAATTTTTCATTTCGTTTTCAAAGTGAGATGTAAAAAATCTTTAAAAATTGATGTGGAAGTTTGAAAAAATCAGAAAAAAATGATAACAAATTAAAAAACTGATTTTTTTTGTCTCAATTTCTCGAATAACGCTTCCAATTGACCAGACAAGAGTTAAAATACATTTAAATATCTTTGGGGAAACTCTTAAGATATTTTTTGCAAAAATTGATTTTTCCCTTGGGTGTCTAAATCGTGAACCGAGATGAAGATTGAAATTTTTTAACATCCAGCAATCTCTTAGAAACTAAATTCGTCCCTAGGACGAACATCGCAAAAAATGCATTATTTTTTCATTACATGCATGCATTACATCGCAGCATTGCCTAAAAACAACTCTTTCATGGAAAATGTTCATTTTTTTCGATTTTTGGTTATTTGAACTAAATATATAATGAAAATTTCACTATCTCGCCATGTTTAAGCTTTTTCAACGTATTATTTTTTTGCTTATTTAACAAAAGAATTTTTGAATGTTAAATCTGTATCGTACATTGCATTGTTCAAGACTGTTTTTGGATTTCCGAGTTTAAATTCAGTGTTTGTTTCATCAAGTTTGAAATTAGCAACTCAATAGTGTGATGCTGTCAGGGTTCTCCCAGCTTTTGTAATTCTGGCTCATATATGAATAACCAATCCTTTAAGTTTACGAGATACGGAAATTTTCGAGATTTTTCATAAATTTGTAGAAAATTTAAGTTTAAATAACTTCTCAGTTTTTGAAATTCTCACCCTGTAATTGGGTGCTGTCAAAGTACCTTTCAAAAAAAAAATTCTAAAAATTTTCTTTAAACTTAGATTTTAAAAAATTCCAAATGTTTGAAGCTCTCAATCCTGTTGTTGGAAATTGTGAGGGTACTGTCAGGGGTTGCGAGTCTTGCCTCTGAATATAACTGCTCAAATCCTTGTACTTTTCGAGATATGACGTTTTTTAGGATTTTTTATAAATTTTTCAGAGAACTTGGATATAGAAGATTTCACAACATTTGAAACTCTCATCTCTATATTGAGCTTCTGTCAGGGTTTTCTCAGGAGTTGCAAATCTTGCCTCCAAATTTCAATTCTCAGATATGACGTTTTTGGTGATTTTTCAAAAAATGTCCCGAAAACTTAAGTTAAAACTCTTTTTTCATAGTTTGAAATTCCTGTATGGGGGCTTTCAGAATAATCTCAGGGGTTACAAATTGGGCCTCTAATTTTTTTAGTTCACTAGATGCGACAATGTTTTCAGTAATTTTCAGAAAACTCAATTTACAGAATAATTGACAAAATTGAAATTCCCAACCCTGTTTGTGTGCTGTCAGAGTACTGTCAAGGATTGCAAATATTGCCCTCAAAGAAGACTGCTCAATTTTAGTAGTTTTCTATATGTGACGTTCTATCTGGTTCTCAAAAAATATATATATTTTTAAGAAAACTAGTTCATAAGTGAATCCTAAGTGTAATAAAGAATTGCCTAAAAGTGACATTGCCTAACCCTAAAAGTGACATATATTGAAACATTCGAAGCTCGGCTACACCTCTGTTTATAATAGGGTTGTTATTCCTTTGATTTTTACACTTGCGATAGCGATCCACACTCTAATTCATTCTGTAGAAATTAAACTTACCAACTCTGAGCTTGTATAATTTCGTTTTTTTTTGCTTAAATAACTTTTCTATACAGTTTCCTTAAATTGGGTTAGTTTTATCGGAAAAGTCTATCATTCCGCGCCTTATTTAAACAATGCAATCAAACGTTGCAGAAAACAAATTTGCCCATTAACTTTTTAAAAGTGAAGCTCGAGAATTTGAAACAAGGTAAAAGCAAGGTAGTGTAAAAGTAAAAATTCGGTAAAGAGCCTTTTAAGCGTAAAAATGAAATGAATTCATAACTGAAATTGTAGCTCAATGTTTTAATTAGTCCCGTTTCGCAGGTGTTCAACGAATCTTTCAGCATCAACGGAGCGATGTTCAGAGGTGACATTCCTTCTGGAATGGGAACTATGTCTAAAGAACAGCTACTCAAAGTCGGCTTTTCTAAGACCCCTTTCAAGATAACTCAGCTGAAGCTTACTATGGGCAGCGATGTGCATTATGATAGAAAGAAGCTGAAGATAGTGATCAATTACGGTATCCGTGAGATGGTTGTGAATTTGGCTCCCAGGCAAAACTTGTGGGATGAGGGACTCAATGTGAACTCTGGAAGCAACCAGCTCGTTATGGACTCCTCCCTCATTCATCACAAACTCGATATAGTAAGTCTAATCTCATTAAGAACACTTCGATACAAGTGAGCAATCTCCCCCCTCAAGAGACCAAGTGAACAATCTCCCACTTAAAATAAATTGGCAAACTCAAGCCGTAAGGCCTGCATTTACTATAGTCAAATCTGATTGGCTGAAAATTGATTTAGGTAGGGGTGATATTGTTCATTTAGTTCAACAGTTCCCACATGCAACGGTTTAACAACTATCCGCCCCAAAAAAGAACTCATCTCGTGAATAGGCACATTAGGCTTGCGCAAGTTTTGAATTCAGTCACGAATTTCATCTGTTTATTAACAGGTAAAATGTTAACGAGATCCATTAGTTTTTTTCCTAAAAATAGTAACAAAGTTTCCATTTTTTTACCTTAAATCTATCTTCACTGCGACTGAATTTCAAAGAGTTTGAAAATCAACGTCAGTAAGGTCGATTCCATTGTTTTCAAATACCAACATGAAAATTGTTTCAATTATATGCCATGAATATTTGTGTGGACGTAAACAGTACCCTTGAATCCGAAAATTGCTTTTAAAATGAATTAGTTAAATTGTTTGGTTGAACCATCGAATTTAAGAAGGCGGTATTATAATTAAATTTAATGGCACAACTAATCCCTTGGGATAGTGGCTGCCCTTCCTCTAAGATGAGATTTAATAATAGTTTTTACGTCAGCAGTAGTCTGCTTGAAAACATGTGCTCAAGATTTTTAGTGACCGATGGACCATTGGTTGCATAGATTGTTTTCATGAGTGTGATGAATTGTGATTTTAAATTGTGAGTTAGACCGAAGTGTTACTCATAGAGTAATTTCGAATAGGGTACACCGTCTGCTCGTCACGCTATCTTATTTTCGGCGGGATAGATTCGTGCAACTTCTCAGTCTAATACCGATTCTAATCTTACTCTTTTATCTACTAGTCTCAGGGTGTTTAACTAGTCTCTGCTAGGCTCAATAGATCTAGGGTATACTGGCTTATTGCGATTGCTAGAAGGTCTCTTGGAGAGGTAACTAATTTCTAAGTTAAATTCAAATCTCTCTGGTGCTGAAATTACAAGTAATTTCAGCACTTACAAATAAGTGGGTTGTTAGTTAGATGGATCAGGATTGGTTAATATTAAATATTTTATAGTGATAAAATATCTAATTTATAACCAGTAATAAAGTGCTTTGAAGGTTTTTAGTTCTTCGGTGCCTACTGCAAATTCATGAGGTGTGTTCTGGATTAAGTTGTAAATTTTATGATTGTATTTAGTGCTATGAATGAATTCTAATATTGGTTTTTCTATAGGTTGGATGAATTCATGCGGGATTATGAAGGGTCGGGATTCTTGGTCGTTGAAAGTCTTGGCGAGGGGACATAATATATAAATCTGGGTGATCGGGTCGTAATTGCGGAGGATGCCTTAATGGTTAGTATTTTTAATACAATACGTGAAGTTTAGAAAAAGTGGTGATGTGTATTTGGAATTGATAAACTGAAATCTGTGGTGGGGTTTTCGCGATGGTGTGTGTAAACGAAAATGTTTTTGGATAAATCGATAATAAGTGTAGGTGTGCGTTTGCTTAGTTCGTAACATGATGTCGTGTGAACAGTACAAATCACTTTCCTTTGGTGTGAGAAAATGAAAGGTTAGTGAAAATGTTTGAAAATGTTTCGTATTCTTGAATATCTGATAATGCTTCTGAAATAATGTGATCATGCTTTTTATCTAAGATGTTAAGTGTGAATAAGTAAGGTGTTTTTATGAAAAATTTCTCTGTGAGTTGTGGTTTAGCAAACTGATCGTCGTCAAGAAACTGGTCTTGATTAGAACTAATGATGTTATGATCATAATATTCAATCAAAAAGTCGATAGCTCGGGTTGCAGTGAAAGTTTTTAGTATTTTTTATATCCTACATATGTAAATTGTCGGGGGGTGAGTGCTGTGGTTAATCTGAATAATTCGTCCTTTTTTCTTTCAATATCTATAGTGATGTTATAGAGCGTAAGGGGGTTAGTGAAATTTTAATAAGCTGTCCAGTGAAGTGTGGGTATTAATACATGTTCATCTACAAAGTGACGTGGTTCAGGGTTAGGGTCGGATTGATTTAGTGTATATTGGGGAAATAAAGGTAGGGTTATTTGAAGAAAATTCGTAGTATTGGTGTGGTCTGGATGGTTGATATATTCTCGGGCGGTTCCGAATTTGGATGGGATTGGGTGATTTGAGAATTTACGTTTAAAGGTTCTATAAGCACGATTAGTACTGGTGGATGTTTCTGTTGATGTGGATGAATGAGCTCATGATGGAGTATAATCTGAAATTGGTGTAGGTGTTGGTGGATTTGATGATGTTATTGTTGATGATAATTGGTGAATAGTTAGAGTGCGGGGAGATAGCAATTGTTGTTGGAGTGTTATAAAATTATCTAGTTCTTTGGAAATTTGAATATTATCCGGGGAGTTGTTGGTGGAGCGTTCATTATTGAATGGGGAGTAGGTTGGGGTTACTTGAGAAGGAGTGTAGGGAAATCTTTGTTGGCTTTGGGGTTGGATAGGTCGGAAGGGAGGTTTTGAGAAGGTTGTTGAGCTGGTCTGGGTATGAGTAGAAGGGGATGGTTCGGAATCTGCGAACTCATCGGGAGTTTCTATATCAAAATTATTGAATTGTGTTATTGTTGTATAAATTGTGATATCTGAGTTAGTGTCAGAATTCATGCGTGATGATGTATTAATTTGTGGTGAATCAGGTGGCGGAAAAGCAAAAAGTGGGATAATAGGAATTGAGTTTTGAAGGTTGGCAGGGTGGGAGTTTGATCGATGGAGTGATCCAACTTGTCTGCTCATCGTGGGCTAAAAAAAATGATTAATTTGAGATTGAAAAATAGTGGTATGGGGCTGTTGAATGATCTGTTCGTCTGTATCGTCAATTGTGGGGTGTTTTGTCACTATAAGTTGGATGGGGCTTTGTATGTGACTGGGTCTTAAGTTTGGGGGGTTTGTGATTGCTAAGTTCCTAAAATTTCGTAAGACTAATGATAATGGATGGTTAAAATGGAAGTTTGGTAAGTTTGGTGATGTGTTCGGATTTGTTGATAGTTTTTTATTATATTCCTTAATTTGTGCATCTAAGAGGATTTTGTTTATTGATGATGAAAATATTCCAAAAAATCCTGCAAATAATATGCGTGCTACGCTTGCTTGTCGGTTTACTTGTGTATGTATTGCGCATGTGTTATAGACTCCTTTTAGTGAAGAGAAAAGAAATCCAATAAAGTTAAACATAGCGTGTAAGATAGTCAAGCCATATTACATCTTTCTAAGATGTAATATGGCCATCCTAGAAAGGCTAAAACTTCATTTTTGAGATTTACAAAACTAAAAATATTGATCGGTGATATATCCTGTGGTCGATATTTTTCACTATTTAGATAATTGTAATCTTTCATGTCTTTAAAATATCCGCTGTAATATTGTGCGTAATTATCTGAAAATCCTGCTGTTTCTGCAAGTTTTCGTAAGTTTTGATCTATTGATTGTCGTTGTATTGTGTCCATTTTCGTAAGTAGTTCTTGAAATTGTAGTGTACGTATGTGATGTTGTATGTCTGATTTTGAATAGATACCTATCGATTGTAAATCGATATTTGGGTTGCGGGCTATAGCTCGAATGCTCTCAGGTGAGAACTTTTTAAATGATGGCATTAATTTTGGGTATGGTGTTAGTAGATAATATTTATCTTCGTCGGGATTTAATTGTACAACGTTGTGGCTGTTTTCTGATCCACATGGTAGTGCTGTGTCCCCCAAAAATATATTCGTCTTGAGAGTGTATCAACAAATTATACTTTATTTTTGTAGAATATGGGGTTTCTCTTATAACATCTTTTATCTTCAAAAATGTATAAAAGTGATATTTTTTGGTACAAGTGTAATACCATAAAATGTTTCCTTCATAATCAAAAAATGTGATCTATTTCCCCGGATAACAAAAATTCTGTATATGGTATTTTGAGACTTGCTAGTGCTATTGACTGTAAAATCTGGGTTCTTTCTAGTTCACATAGTTGATGTAGTGTTTCTAATTCTGAGAGTGACATTTCTTGAAAAATTCTGCTTATTGTGTAATCTAGTTTCATATCTAAATGTATATCATAATGAATTGCGCCAAAATTTGTGCGGTTCATAAGTGATATTCCTTGTAACCGTGTACTATCTGCGTCTTGTGGTTTTAATTTTCCACCTATTCGTCCTATGTTTTTCTGAAGTTTTACTGAAACATAAGGGTTTCCGTCGGTAAGTGAATGAGATGTGGCCTTATGGTCTACAATTAGATGTCCTGCATTCATGTCGAAACCATGTTCGTATTCGACAAGAATTTCTGAATATTGTGTTTTGTAAATTGGTTTTTTATATTTACATGCAAGTTCTGTTTCTGGGTATATTTGAAATCGTGTTAGTTTATTTTCTATATTGTGGAGGTTCTTAATTTTGTTCTATTACTTCTAATTTGATTGGGATTGACTTCTTCAAATGGGATTGATTCAATAAAACATTTGTGGCGAAATTTAATCATTCTAGCGTGTATCCTTGCTACTTGAAAAACTGTGCAGGTTTCTTCAGGAAACCATACAATGGTTGTTTGGGTCCGTGTTGTAGGATCGCAATATCCTTGGTCATTTTTGCAAGAGAGTCAAATGCCTTGGTAAAGAATTGTGTCGTCTTTTAAATCTCGTGTAAGTTGTTGTACTTTTTCAAGTTGTATTTTCCAGTCAAAAAACATAATTTCTTGATATCCTTTATTTTTTGTATCTGCTTTGCAAATTGAAGGATTGCTTATACCGATATGTGGTATCCAGTGTTTTGACATGTAAATCGTATGTTAATCTTCCGTGTGTTCCATGAAAGGGGAAATTTGTGTCTAGTCTTATGTGACCCTGGTGTTTTTCAAGTTCTGCTTGATGTGCTAAGTCTGGGAAAACTTGAAAATTTACAAGTTTTCTATTTGTT